CTATTTCCAGGTTTCGATATTTTAAGAGTAAAAAATACACAGTATTGCTTTTTTTTTTTTTAAATATTTTAATGACACTTAACTGCAGCATTGTTGAATTGTCAGCAACATTGGAAATAGCCTAATTATCTCTGAAGGAGAAATAAAATTGCTGTATTTTAAAAGTGGAATATTATACAACATGTAAATAATTCAAAAGTACACTGATTGACATGGTTAAATTTCTGTCAAGTAATGGTAATCAAAAAAGCAGAGCTATATTGTTGTAAATTTAAAGCCACAGAATTCCAGATATATACATATGAAAATATGAAATAGTGACTAATCCAAGATAGGGTCTGAAGTCCCCCTTTTCCTATTTAAATGATAAAATTACCTTAAAATTAGCTCTGAAACCTTTTCTTGGAAAAAGTTCTGCATGTTGCTGACCTGTGTTCTCTTTTCCATTTGCAAAACAAATCTTGAATTTCACAGAGAGCGAAGATGCTATGACAAACTCTTCCTCTAACAATTATTATTTCGTTGGCTCACTGCCCTTGACAATTAGGAGAAGATTTATAGACATGTCTCCTGAATAATTGGCAATTAATTTGAGATTAGATGCCAAAAAAGTACAGTATTTCTAATGTAATGCGAAGGTTGAGGCTTTTGGCTTATAAATGTCACGGAACACAGAGTAAATGTTAACCGGCAGCTTAGTTAACCCTGCCCTTTTGCACATCCACAGTAGGGAGGAGTTTTAGTTTGATGATCATAAACTTTAGTTAGCTTGGCTAGTTTGATTGTAAAGCTCAAGTGTAAACAAAGAGTGTCTATGAATTAAGAATGCTTCCAGTCTCAATGCCCCAGGTTCATCTTGATAGGTATTGACTGTGATTCATAAGGATCTATGTGGGATAAAGAAATATTGTATCCTGAGTCTTCTTTGGATTTTTGTTTTGGAGTCATAAGGACCTGTTTGAGACAAAGAGATACTGAATCCTGAGTCTTTGGAATTGCTTCTGACTGCAGTGTTACATTTGGATCCCATAACATCTTTACAACTTACAGCTCAAATGTTAACTGTCGGTGTGTTTTTATTGCACAGAAACAGAACTCTGGTCTCCTAGGGGAATATAAATCCTAGGTTCTAGGCAATGGGGATTTTGCTGATAAACTTTCTTGTCCTCGTGGTCAAATTCAAGAATATTTAGACCTAGAAGTAGAGTTGGCCAGCATGACTATCCCCTATCAGTAGTTTACTAGTTGATTTTATTTTCTGAATAATTCCAGTGACGTGACAGTTCAGTTCAGTTCAGTCGCTCAGTCGTGTCCAACTCTTTGCTACCCCATGGACTGCAGCACGCCAGGCTTCCTTGTCCATCACCAACTCTTTGAGCTTGCTCAAACTCATGTCCTTCAAGTTGGTGGCACAGTGCCAGGAGTGTATTAAACCTGTGCTAAATGTTAACCAGTTTACACGTGTCAACGAGTTTACACGTGTCCAGAAAATTTTAGTGCAGAAGAGTTTTATTAGAGTCCTGAATATTCATTGGAAGGACTGACGCTGAAGCTGAAACTCCAATACCTTGGCCACCAGATGCGAAGAACTGATTCATTGGAAAAGACCCTGATGCTGGGAAAGATTGAAGACAGGAGAAGGGGATGACAGAGGAGGAGATGGTTGGATGGCATCACCAATGTGATGAACATTAGTTTGAGTAGGCTCCGGGAGTTGGTGATGGACAGGAAAGCCTAGCGTGCTGCAGTCCATGGGGTCTCTAAGATTTGGACATAACTGAGGAACTGAACTGAACTGAGAGTTTTATTCCCTTCTGGAAACTCTAGAAGTATCCTTTATTCCAAATTTCCGCGTGCTTGTATTTTGTTTCTGGCCATGTAAGTCAAAAGTTTTATGTGCATTTTTTAAAAGTTCATTTTAATTATAATTTCTTATATATTAATTCATAGTTAGTATTTTGTATGAGTATGTATTTGGCCACGCTGTGTGGCTTTTTAGGATCTTGGTTCCTTAACCAGTGATTGAACTGAGGGAGGCCCTTGGCAGCGAGAGCTTGGTGTCCTAAGCATTGGCCCATCAGGGAATTCGCTATGTGTATTTTTAAAAGGTATAACAGTCTGCTTTGGAATGATCTTGGCTCTTTCTCCACTTGCTTCAGTGGTGGCCCACTCTAGTGATAATCTCCCATCTTTTATTAAGTGCTTTCTCTTTGCCAAGTACTGTCTGAATCTCATTTAATCCTTACAAGTCTTGTATAGAGCTGCTGTTACATCAGTGCTCTCTTTTCATAAATGAGAAAAGTGAGGCTCAGAGATTAAGCAAGGCACTTGGGTTCACCAGCTAATAAAGAGTAGAACCAGGATTCACACTCAAGCTTGTCTGTCTTAACCACCAAGATTTACTCCACTCTTCTTTCAGTTTCTCTCTTTAATGAAGAATTGAAAACTAAGCATTAAGAACAGTGCCTACCATATAGTCTTTCAATAATTATGTACAGTTTAAACTTTTGAAATTGATTTTATGATAGTACAGTTTCTATACTATAAAATGTCTCCATTTAGATATACTATTCCGTAAATTTTGATAAATGTGTAAACCTGTGTTATCACTAACAACAATTGAGATATACTGTATTGGAATCACCCCCCAAAGTTTCCTTTTGAGTCCCCCTTTTAAAAAAATTTTTTGTTTTGATATCACTGTTGATTCTCAGGAAGTCATAAAAAAATAGTTCAGACTTCTTGTGTATCCTTCACCCTGCTTCTTCCAGTGCTAACATTCTTATATAGCTATAATACAGTTGCACAGCCAGGAAATTACAGGTATACTCTATAGATTTTATTCCCTGTGTGCTAATCTCTGCCTGTTCTCACTCCAGGTAACTGCTGAACTGTTTTCTGTCATTGTAGATAGGCCTGCTCTGAAGCTTTATATATAAATGGAATCAGATAATATGTTGTCTTTTGTGTCTGGTTTCTTTTGCTCAGCATAATGTATTTGAGATTCATCAATATTAGTTAGTGGTTTGTATCTTTTAATTGTTGTGTAGCATCCTGTTGTTTGAATATAATGTAGTTCCGTTATCCATTCAATGTTGACAATCATTTGGATTGTTTTCAATTTGGGGCTATTATATAATGAATAAAGTCACTGTGATGATTCATCTATACGTTGTGTGTTTATATGTGTGTACTTGTTTTCACTTCTCTTGCTAGCATTGGTTAGTGAAGATTAGTTTATAAGATACTGTCAAAGTGTTTACCATTTTAGACACCCACTAGCAGTATATAGAAGTTCCTGTTGCTTCACGGTCTTGCTAAAACCTAATATTGATTTTGCCATTCTGGCAGGTAGGTAGTAGGATCTCACTGTGACTTTAATTTGTCTTTCTCTAATAATTAGTGATGTTGAATATCTTTTCATATGCTTAATGCACAATTGTATGTATTTTATAAACTATATATTCAGACCATTTTGGGGGGGTAGGAAATGTGTGTGTGTGTGTCTTCTTACTTAATAAATATTTGATGTATAATTGAATGATCTGAGATAGAGCTATATATTTTCCTTTTGGCCACTTGAAATCTTAGGTGTACTACAACTCAAATAAAATAGTTCAAGTTGAGTTTCATTAGTCTATTCTAAAATGATCTGCTATAGTAGGGAATCTGGTTTAGAATGTGATACTAAAATAAAGATCAGTAGTTCCTCTCCTAGGCATCATAGCATCTTCTTTTTTTTTTTTTTTTCATAGCATCTTCTTAACCATCAAAACTTTCATCTTCACAACTTGCTCTTTTTGACCATGGGAAAATTATCTTTTGAAGATGTGAATTTTGTGGTTCACATGGATCCTGCATTGTTTCTCTAATGCTAAAAATGCTCTTAACTAATTTTTATCTTGTCTAAAAACGGAAGGACAATCTTAGCCTTGTTATTTTTAGCTGTCACTGAAGCAGTTTTCTCCATTAAGAATAAGTGTTAGCTATGTTGATCTATAAGCCATCTGCTGATCATGTAGACTATAATTTGTGTTTATAATTTTTAAAAAAAGTTTAGTTACCTACTTCTTTCTGTGATACATTTTGTAATAATATATTTTTTAAGCTTTTGTTTCCGTCTGTTAACTGGAGAGAATTAAAAAGAAATAAACACATAGACCAGCCCAGATAACTATTGCTTAAGCAACACCAATTTTTTTAAAAAGTGTGTTTAGTACTTATAAATCAACACAGAATAGTCAGATCTATCTATCTCTTTCTGTCTGTGTAATGAAGAGTGACGTCTCCTCTTTTATTTCCCAAACTCAAGTCCTTCGTCCTAAAGGAGACTGTTGTTAAAACTTGTTGGTGGTTCTTTCCATTAATACATGGTCTCTCCTTTTCTTTATTCTTCTCACATAAAAGGTCAGATAGTAGTTACCGTTCCACATGTTTTCCTGCACTTCCAACACATGAAGATCTAGTGATTCCTGATGGTTGTTTCCAGGGTGTTTTCATGTTTATTTTTATTTATTCACTGTTACAAAAATGTTTCAATGAACAATACTGGAAATTTGGATAGACTTTTGCAAATATAGCCATTGAGTAAATTTATTCCAATTGAATCCCTAGTCAAAGAGCATTTTATAATTTGTCAGCTATTGCTAGATTGTCCTGTGTAAGATTTCAGCCATCCACTTTCCATCTAATAATGTTTGCAAGTGTCTACAATACATATTTTAAATGTAATAGCCTCTTTTGAATTCTTTGTTATTTGAGTCTCCTAGTATTATGTGAATTGGACCCCCAAATTAATGCTGTTTCAGTGCTGTTTTATCTTTATTACATTCCTGCTTGCTTTTTCCCCTGCAGAGGAAAACCTAAACTTAAGTCTTCCTGATGACTGAGGGTGGCAGACTAGAATGGCTTCATATGGCTTTCTCATACATGGCTCTCAGGCTGCTCAGTCTCTAGGAAACCTGATGTTTGATGCCTTCTGTTTTATATATTTCCTGTAGGAGGAAAGCTGAACAAAGACCTGCGACATTTTCTCAATCAGAGATTCCAGAAGGGGTCGCCTGATCATGAGCTCCAGCAGACCATAAGAGATAACCTTTACCGCCATGCTGTGCCTTGTAAGTAGCCAGTTTGGGACATCTTACTGCTGGTGGGTGTATGAAAAGTTGCGGGAAGACAAGCAATGGCTGGTTCTGGAATACTTGGCAGTTTGCTCACTTAGTGACTCCCTAAGTGTAGGGAGTCCAAATTGACAATGGGGGACTGGCAATCCAGTGGTTAAGACTCCGCACTTCCAATGTAGGGGGCGTGAGTTCTACCTCTAGTTAGGACACTAAGACCCCACATACTGCGAGGGGAGGCCAAAAAATGGTAAAACAATGTAAAAACAAGCAAAAAAATTGACAGTGAGACAGAGTACTAAGCCAGGTGAATTACTTGGTTTTTCAAGTCCTGGCTTGAGTATGCCAGGCAAATTATTTATCCTTTGTAAGGTCATGTTTTCACAGCAGTGAAAAGGGCATCTCACTCCTACTAACTTTACAGAACTGTTAGAAAGTCAAAGGAGTGACATTTGTCAATGTGTTTGTATCATATGGGCATGGTGTAAGCCTCGTAAATGTTAACCATTTTTGTCATGAGTGGAGAGGACAGGCCAGAGGCCTTCAAACTGACCTCTGAGGACTTCAGTAGGTCTCTGGTGTTCCTCAACAAAGGGAATGCCTCAGTGAACTCTCTCTTCCTCCCCACCTTAATGAGATCAATAAATCATGATTTAATGTATGATTTCCTTTGAAGAAAGCCTCTGTGATTCCACAGATTAAAAATCCACAGGTTAAAAATCCCAAAGTTCCAAACCTATTAGATAAGACCAAATCTGAGAAAGCAAGATAATAGAATGTAGGGACTATGACATTGGGAATTTTGTGGTTAAGGGAAAGAAGGAAAGGAGGAGGGAATCAGCCTACCAGATCATGAGGTATTACCATGCTCTACCAGACTACATTCTCATCCAACTCATTATGAGATGAGAATCCTGGGATGACATGTGATTATTTACCTTCATTCAAAATAGGAAGAAAAAAATTAAAAAATAAGAAGAAAGATGATTTTTATTACTTGGGAGTTTTCATTTTTCCTATTATCCAGTCCTTCAAAATTCTATAATTAAAAAAAATTTTTTTAATCACCCAAAAAAAGGCGGACAAATTTGAAGTTCAAGGTACTCTGCTTATTGCTCTAATTTGTTTGCTATGGATGGTTTTCTTTAAAAGAAGTAATATTTTTCCAGTGATATGCTAGAGTGCTAGTGTTTCCTCATACTACTGCAAAATGATGAACAGAATTGATTTCAGGCATGCCATGGTTCTGCAAGGACTTAGACTGGAAGCGTAGCTGGAGACCTTTAGCGATCAGATTTTAAAACAGACCCTGCCTTCCATTTCACCTATTCATAAAACCGAGACTCCCAGAGTAAGAGACTGAGTTGACTGCAAGTGACTTGGGTCAGTGCCCTAAAGTTGCCTCTTTCTACTGAGTGGAAGAGCCACATTTATTTATTTATTTATTTATTTTCAGAGCTGCATTTGACAGAGAAAATGTGATCATGCATTAATGTGAATCTCTGGCCCCCAGTTCTTTTAATTTTGCATCATTAGTATTGAAAGCCATAATCCTAATAATATCCTAACTGTTCCTTACACTTGGATTAATAATAATAATAATGAAAATTCCTGTGATTACTCACATGAATGGGCAGGGATTGCCTCTCTATTTTTATAAAAATAAAGAAAGAAATCAAGACACGAAGGTAAGCCGATTAAAGCACGGCCAAAGGTGACTAGGGTTTCAAGTCATTGTCCTACCTCTGATGTACTGTCCCATTTTACACTTAGAATAGCAACCCTTTGAGGTTGAGGTTTCCAGTACCCATTTTCCAGATGAGGAAACACAGTCACAGAGTGATCAAGTAACTGTTACATGGTAGATCCAGGGATTTGGGACTTGTAAGCCATCCAGGGCTATTTCTGTAGCTCAACCGTTGCTGCCTCTGAAGTTCTAGTAAGCAGGTTGGATGCAGTTTTGCAGAATTCAGTAATTGCAGAATCATGATTGTTCTCTGTGTAATTTTTCCCCTACTCAGATTCCAATTTAAGAAGTGGGGAATGAAGCAAATGAGCACACCATTTCTTGACGCATCTGTGGTGTTACTATGGTTACATTTTGGCAAGCTTTTCCATTTATTTTTTCCACTGATTTATTGGACCTGACTGTGAGCTAAATGGCTTGATTTTAAGCTTATCACTCTGTTGGAACTGGGGCAAAATGACCTCAGCTTTTTAAAAAACAGTGGAAAATAATATTTTGTCTTTGCTTATATCGAGCCATTGGTATTGATGTTTCATGTCTATGAAACCAATAAATCAGAAATTGAGAATGTGGAGAGAGTTTTCTTTTTTTTTTTTTTACTAAAGAGAAAACAGGTAACATTTCATTTTATATTTCCTGCATAAAAAAAGGAAGGAAACTCGGAAGAGCTCTGTTTCTGAATCTGGCGCAGTGTGTGTGCCTTTGAACAGGAGTGACATGGGATTCGGTTATGGGCTTAGATGACTGGGGCCACATTTGTGTTTATTTTGGTTCTTTGGCCCATGTGACTGATAGAGCAGAACTCAGTACCAAGCTGTTGTGCTCATGGATGAGGAAGCCCTTGATTGAGTCACGGATCTTTCCAGTGATGTTGTAACTATGCCACAGGGAAATGAGCTCTTGCAGTCTATATTTTCCAGAACTTCCTGCTGCCGATATTTCAGTAACTTTGGTTTTTTGAGAAGGGATGATCTCATGAACAGGTGCTTGCGAGCTGGGGTAGACTTGCTTTTCTGTACGTTTTAGGAGGCTCACATGTCAGTAGAAATGAACAGATAAAGCTGTTTGTTCTCAAGTTTGTTTTATTGTCATCATAGTGTGGTAGAACCTTCTGGGTACCATGATGGATTTTGCCGTTCAGAATTCCATTTTATCCTAGTTTTTTGGCAAAGACAGTGCAAGTTTTGCATCCGTATCTTAAGGTAAAAAAGTGAAGTAGCAAATGTAGTTTCCTCAAAATCATACCAGTTCTAATGCCACATTACTCACTTCTCATCCAGTGCTATTTTTTTTCATCCAGTGCTATTTTTAAAAGTGACTTTATTGAAATATAATTCATATATCATACAGTTCACCCACTTAAATTGTTCATTTAGTGCTATTTTTGCTATAGTCATTATTATTTTCTACTCCTTTTGTTTTGATTCAAAAACATTTATTATTTCCATAGTATGAAAAGGGTCATCATAGATAAAATTTAATTATATTATCATTGAAAATTACTCAGTTCAGTTCAGTTGCTCAGTTGTGTTTGACTCTTTGCGATCCCATAGACTGCAGCAGGCTTTCCTGTTCATCTCCAACTCCTGGAGCTTTCTTTAACTCATGTCCGTCGAGTCAATGATGCCATCCAACCATCTCACCCTCTGTCATCCCCTTCTCCTCCTGCCTTCAATCTTTCCCAGCATCAGGGTCTTTTCTAATGAGTCAGTTGTTGACATCAGGTGGCTGAAGTATTGGAGCTTCAGCTTCAGCATCAGTCCTTCCAATGAGTATTCAGGATTGATTTCCTTTAGGATGGACTGGTTTGGTTTCCTTGCAGTCCAACAGACTCTCAAGAGTCTTCTCCAACACCACAGTTCAAAAGCATCAATTCTCCAGTGCTCAGTTTTCTTTATGGTCCAACTCTCACATGGATACATGACTACTGGAAAATCCATAGTTTTGACTAGATGGACCTTTGTTGGCAAAGTAATGTCTCTGCTTTTTAATATGCTGTCTAGGTTTGTCATAGCTTTTCTTCCAAGGAGTAAGTGTCTTTTAATTTCATGGCTGCAGTCACCATCAACAATGATTTTGTTGCAGGAAGGGGGGACACTTCCAGTGCCCAAAAGTCTAACACTTGGAAATGAATTGTCCAAGGAGACACATAGGCTGACAAAGCAAGAGAGTTTATTGGGAAGGGGCGCCTGGGCAGAGTGTAGTAGGATAAGGATCCCGGGAGAACTGCTCTGCCTTGTGGCTTGCAGTCTCTGGTTTTATGGTGAAGGGATTATTTTCCAGGTTGTCTTTGGCCAATCATTCTGACTCATAGTCCTTCCTGGTGGCGCATACATTGATCAGCCAAGATGGATGCCAGCGAGAAGGATTCTGGGAGTTGGTTGGACGTGTGGTGTCACCTTTTGAACTTTCCTGAACTCTTCCGGTTGGTGTTGGCTTATTAGTTCTGTGTTCCTTACCAGGACCTCCTAGTGTAAAACAGATGGTTACTATTTTGCCTGACCAGGTCATATCTGAATGATCTAGTGGTTTTCCCTACATTCTTCATTTTAAGTCTGAATTTTGCAATAAGGAGTTCATGATCTGAGCCACAGTCAGCTCCCAGTCTTGTTTTTGCTGACTGTATAGAGCTTCTTTATCTTTGGCTGCAAAGAATACAATCAGTCTGATTTTGGTATTAACCATTTGGTGATGTCCATGTATAGAGTTGTCTCTTGTATTGTTGGAAGAGGGTGTTTGCTATGACCAGTGCATTTTCTTGGCAAAACTCTGTTAGCCTTTGCCCTGCTTCATTTTGTCCTCCAAGGCCAAACTTGCCTGTTACACCAGGTATTTCTTGACTTCCTACTTTTGCATTCTAGTCTCCTATGAGGAAAGGACATCTTTTTTGGATGTTAGTTCTAGAAGGTCTTATAGGTCATCATAGAACTGTTCAACTTCAGCTTTGTCGGTGTTAGTGGTTGGGACATAGACTGGAATTACTGTGATACCGAATGGCTTGCCTTGGAAACGAACAGGGATCATTCTGTCATTTTTCAGATTGCACCCAAGCTCTGCATTTCAGACTATTGTTGAGTATAAGGGCTTCTCCATCTTTTCTAAGGGATTCTTCCCCACAGTAGTGGATATAATGTTCATCTGAATTAAATTCACCTATCCGGTCCATTTTAGTTCGCTGATTCCTAAAATGTCAGTGTTCACTCTTGCAATCACCTGTTTGACCACTTTCAATTTACCTTGATTCATGGAC